TACAGCAGCCTTATACGACCGTACTTTGTGGCTGCAGTCTGCTGGCTGACCCCTGCTTGCTAGTTCCAGCCTCAGCATCTGGCAGGATGGTGACCTACCTGGGGTTGGTGATGTAGTTGGCGGGAGCTCTCCTGAACAGTCAGTAAAGAAGGTGCAAATAGCCAGGGGGCGGGGAGGGAGGGGGGAGGGAGAGCAGGTGGACCCAAGCTTATTTTAGTGCATGGAAAGCAAGGGTGGACGAAAGCAGCCCCCCCCCAATGTTACAGGGTTGTGTTTCCTTTTTTTTTCTTCTTTTTTTTTAAATGGTTTAGAAAGTTTCCTTGACCCTTCGGTGTGGTGCGCGAAGCCTGTGGTGCCCCTGCTCCCAAAACAGTTTGTAGGTTATTTTTACAGAAACATTTGCCTCTCTAGAGAATAACAAGCAACGCTTTGCAGGAAAGGAAAACAATGCTTTAGAAAGAAAGAAAAGCAAGCAAGCAAGTGAGCAGAGCACAGGTGGCGCTCCTCGAGCTCCGGAGGGCAGGTGGAAGTCATGCTCAGTCCTCTGGCGCGTTCCTTCCTCTAGTCTACAGGAATGGAGCCCCTTCGTGGGGTTCTTCCCTGGCCAGTGTTTGGGGCTTGGCTGTCTTTGAGAGAGGCTGCTGCCTCCAGCCCCCCCTCCCCCGATGATTTGCACACCCCCTGAGGCAGGCCGGGAGCTCTTTAGGGCAGAGAAGCGTCCGCCTTCGGATCGGCTGGTTCAAACGTGGGGCCTGCCCTGGGCCTCGGAGTAAAGGCGACTCCCGCTGGCTGGGCAAGCAGGACCCCTTGTTGCAGGTTCAGCAGATGTTCCCCCTGAAATGGGGTGGGGGGTGTGTGTGTGTGCCTGCGCACACGTGCCTCTTCCCTCTTAGTTTTGGCCCGAGCCTCCAGGCTTTCAGATCCCCAAGAGGGTTTTCTCAAACCCCTCTCCTTGGCCTCACTTGCACCCCCGGGCACGACTCCCCTTTGTTTTATTCTGGACGAGAACAAGGCTCCCTCTGAGGCCGTGTGGGCGCAAAGCCTGTCCGGGCGCCCTGGTGGGTCTTGCTCGGTTCTCCCTCCTCAGGAGTTGGGCTGTTTCGGCCCAGAGGTGGCTTCCTCTCGCAGCAGTTGCTGAGAGAGCAGAAATGGCACAGGACCTGGGCCCTCGCCCAGATGACCTCCACCGCTGCAGAGATGGGGCAGGAGTGGAAGGAAGCGCTTCTTGTCTCTCCCGAGAAGGGGGACCTTAGAAAACACTTATGTACAGTGCTGGGAGGGGAGCTTATTTCTGACCTGCACAGCTTGGTTTTTTCCCTCCTTCCAGATGGAGGTGGTGTCATCTATTTGGAGAAGGAGTCCTCTGCACCCACCTGCCCCCCAGCCAGCCGTGCTCACGGTGACGTTCGGGGCAGGGAGGTTGCACAGATGGCAGCTGGTGCCTGCAGGGCATCAGTCAGTGTGGGTTTTTCCTCCAGAGAGCCGTGCCGTGCATCTCTCTTAAGGCATTGGCTCTGTGCATTGCATGCCTTTTTTTTGCGGGGGGGGTTAGGGTCAGCCTTAAAGGTGGATGGGGGTAGTTGGTCCATCCATTCCCTTGGGAGGGGCACAGCCCCTTGGTCCACCTGCTCCCCAAAGGGTCAGTGACAGGTTGCAGCAGGGGCTCCCCGGGTCTTGTGTGGCAGCTGAGCAAGGCCTCTCCTCACCTGCCTCCTTAGAGGTGCTGCTGGAATTTGAACCTGGGGTCTTTGGTGAACACACCCTCCCTGTGCAAAATTTTCCATGACTGGTGCCGAACAGAGATGAGGGGAGACAGAAGGCTGTCAGGACGCCACCCTCTTTCCTCCCTCTTTCTCCTTGTGATGGTTCTGGAATGACGTGACGCCCGATCAGCCCAGAGGCCCTGGGGCAGGAAGACGGGGGGGCGGCGGTGGTGAACGGCTCCTTCCTTCCCCTTGGGTCCTGGGTGCTCTTCCAGACACGGCCTGTGAACATAAAGAGGAGTTCAGGGGAGAAGGAGGGGTCGGGATTCTGGGTGCCCAGGTTGGTGGAGAAAAGGCATCATTCAGCGCACATTTCCTGGGACCTGCTGTTTTCAGCACGGAGCAAGAGCAGAATGCCTCAGCAACCCCTCAGCGGCTCCTTCTCGAGGGCATCTGGATGCCTACTCAGGGGTGGGTCCAGGAGCAGCCTTGCCAAGCCAAGCCACTCAGCAAAGACACTAGGAGACTTGGAGGAGCTGCTCTTTGTACCCGAACCAGCCGTGCCAAGAGGACTGGCCCTGTGCCCGCAGGAGCGCTTGCTTGACTGCCGGTAATCCCGGCAGGTTTGCTCCTGGAAAGAAAGAGCCCTCCTTCCCCACCATGACGAGGGGAGTGGGTGGCCTTAGAAAGCTGCTGCCTCCACTCACCATCATAACGCCTGCAGGGGTTGACTCGCCTTGGGAGTCAGGAAGAGGGAAAGTAGGCACTGCAGCAGGGCACCCAAGTGCCGTGTCTTGTTTGCTGCTCCTATGGAGAAACCAGGGGGCCCCATGCGTGCCCCCCCCGAATGCCTGGGCTGACGATCCCAGCCTCTCTGGCACAGCCACTCCGCTTCCTCTGACCCACATGGGCGGCTCCAGAATCCTGTGTTTGGAGGTGCAAGGCAGCCACTGTTCTGCCAGAGTTCAGTGAACACCAAAACTGGTACAGCAGGTGCTCAAAGGGGGGGGGAAGGGAGGGGGGCAGGTGAGCTCTCTTCCCACAGAGGTCTTTAGCCAGATCCCGGTGCTCTTGGCTAGCAGCACGACCCATCACCAGAGGTGGCCACCGTTCCTCTCCCTCCCCAGCCCCGCAGTGAAGCTTCCTCCTCTGCCTCCAGGAGCGATGCGAGTCGAGGAGCGATCTCTGAATGTAAGCTCTCATCGCACACACACACGTACACCCGAGTTGCACGGCTGTGAAAGAAAATCCAGGTGCCCACCCGGCAGCTGCTGCTCCTCAGTCCCCGTGACATTGCTCGGGCGGCGGCCTCCCCACAGACACAGGTGACTTGATGCTTCTCATTTCTACAGGTTAGGAATTGAGATGGCGCCTGCCTTTCTCCCCCTCCTCCCCCCCCCACTTTAACTCAGCCTCTTCAGGAGGTTGCTGTCCAGCCCTTTCTGCCCAACTGCAAAGTGGGTCAGCATCATGGGCAGGAAGCGCGGGCCATCTCCCGGCTGGGGGGAACAGGCAGCTGGCTGCCTATGCCTGCCATGCCCGCCGGTGGCCTTGAGGCTGGCAGTCTGGGGGGTGGGGTGGGGCAGCCATGGGTTTGTGCCAACCCTGCTTCGTTGGCCATCGGACGCCTCGTGGCTCTTAGTTTGGGAGTTGGGACAGCTTGGCTCAGTTGTTTGGGGCCCGGTAGGACAGTGGTCCTCCCCCAAAGTTTGGGGCCGAGGCATTAGAGGACCAACCGGTCCCGTCTGTGTCAGCGGGAACTTTTGGTGCTTGCCCGACGACGCCAGCATGCCAGCCTTCCTAGAGGCTGAATGAGGTGCTTTGTGGTTTTTATCTCTTCAGAGGCTTTCACCCTTCCTGAAACAAATCTTTATATTGTAATTACAGTGTATAATAGGACCTCTTTGATCCCACTCGGCAGTTCTGGATTCAGGGGCACTCAAGTGGAGGGCGTTTTCTTTCTTCGGAACACGGCACTCTTGGGAAGAAGGGGGTGGGATAAGGAAAGTATTTTTTTTCCACTTGGTTTCTGTAGTTACAATAGTTGAGGTTTATGAACTTAATATTGACCCTTGTGAGCAGCTTTATAGGGGCGCTTTTGCTGCTACATTGTGTTTCTCACCCCCACCCCAATTTCTTTTGTCTCTTGCGCTGGAAACCAACACACAACTGTACTTACGATTTAGGTTGGCCTTCGGCAGGCTGTGGCCAGAGATCACAAAATACCGTTTGTAAAAAAGAAAAAAAAAAGGTTTGCCAGTGCTCCAGAGTGTGTTTTGCAAAAGGGGGCCGAGACGTGTGCTGCCCAGGAATTGGGCATGGGGGTGCGGAGATGTAAAAAGCCGTGGAGGTGCCTTCCCTCTGCCCCTTGGGTTTTTACGGTACAAGCAATAAATGGTTTTTTTGTTTGTTTATTGCTTTTCTTTCTAACGTGCTATTCTTTCCGCCACCTTTTTTTAAAAAAAAAAATTGTTTGCAACACATGCCTGCACACACTAGGGCTTAAATATATCTCCAGGTTCTTGCTCTTTGTATATACGTATATCCTATTCAGTTTTACCGTATGGGCTTCCCTTGCAAAGACTGATCCCAAGCCAGCCCAGGCAGCTCCAGAGTCACTCCAACGTTCATGGATGCTGCGGACTCATGGCGCACGGCATGTGAGACGGAGCGGGTCAGGGCTGTCGCCCAAAATAACCTGAAAGACATCAAGGTGTGGTTAGCAGCATCCAGCTTCCCCCGGTGCTTTGCCAGGGCCGTACTCCTGAATGCATCCAGACCCCATGGGGATTAGAGGGCACTCAGAAAGGGGGGAGGAAGAGAGGGTGAAAAAGCCCTAGTGGGACCAAGGTTGCCTTTTAGTTTCAGATATTTCACTTCACTCTGCCCACCATCTTTCTAATCAGCCTTCCTTGAGGGACCTTCTTTTAAAGTTTCGGTGAAATCCAGTTTGTGGGTGTCGACTTAACCCAAGTGGGCCGGCATGGAGTTGGTGGCTCATCTATCTTCCTTAAGATTACACAACGACCTGTGTGTGCGTGTCCATTGCCTCGCCTTGAAACGGGGAGCGGGGAAGCTCCAGAAACGAGCTGGAATGCGGACATGTGAAAGGTGTTACATTTTGAAGGGGTGGGAAATGAAGCAATGGACAACCTAATAGAGATGCAGAAAACTACATGATGTGAAGTAAATGGGTTTTCTCATGGTCCTAGAACCCAATGGGATCATCCTCTGTCATAGATCATAATAAACTGAGGAAGCTGAAAAGTGCTTACGAAATATCTAATGATGGAAACTGGAATCGGCCCTCACCAGCCGTGGTGATGACCAGCAGGCTGCGCAAGACGGACATGTGCAAGGGTGGGGTAGAGAAATTCATACTTCCTGGTCATGGATCATTCCTTCCAGGAGGTAAGCCCCTCACTACCAGTTGTATGTGCAAAAATTCCACCTGGGATTTTAGGCTTCCTGGTCAGCTTGAAGTTGGGGGAGGGGTCCATGCACTCTTTATCCCTCTGGATGTGCCGTCCTAAGCGAGTAGGGTGCTCAGCGGTGAGCAGAATTGCTGGCTTTCGTACCAAAGAAGACTCTCCTTTGGTGTTGAGAGCTTGGAAGCCTGCAACTTGCATCTTGGTCTTTCTGCACCCATTTTCTTCTTGGATATAAGCCTGCAGGTTTACAACAGTCTCCGTGCTGTCCCCCACACAAACCAAGGCAAATTGGGGGCGACCGGGAAGATCAGAGGGTGGTGGAAGCAAAACTTTCTTGCCCCAACCAAGACATTCTTTCCAGGCCTGGTTTATTCAAGCAGATAGTGCAAGAAAGGCTGATTCTTGTTTCCTGTGCTTCAGCTCCTTTTCGGCAACCTCCAGGAAGAGACTGGATGGTTTCTGAAAGCCAACTGGATGCCTACTTACCACTATATCCTCCGCAGTGAACGCCCCAAGTTACAAAGAAACACAAGGGGTTTTGCTTCTGCCAGGAAGTGGGTGCTGTGCTTATTTATTGATTTATTTATGACTTTTAGTTTATAAACCACCCCATTAGTACCGAAGCACTCTGCTGGGTGCTTCGCAAGCAGTGAAAACCAAACACAGCAAACAACAACACTAAATTACAACACAACTAGCAAGAATGTAGCATAAAAACTTTTTTAAAAAAACTGGCACCAAAACAGATTTCCGAAATAATAAAATAGCCGCCTAGAATGGTCCTGATCCGACCAGATAGGCGGGATATAAATAAAAATTGTAAAAAATAAAGCAGAACAGGAGGCGAGGTTTTGTGTTTTAGGATATTCCCTCTCTAAAGGCATTCTCTCTCTTTTTTTAAAAGTCTTTTTGGGCTAATGAGCCCTAATTAAGCCAACCTGGGTGCTGAGTGCCGGCAGAGCTGAGGCATTCTCTCCCCATCTTCTTCCAGGAGCCATGTGGGGCGTGTGGGAGAAGCCCATGGCCTTTCCGGAGAGGAGACCCTCCTGGCTGGTGCTGCAAAGAGGGTTGGAGGTAAGGAGTGTGTCTTTTGAGGTGGCCTGGGGGTTTGGGATTCCTCGCGGCAGGGAGTGGAAAAGTTTCCAACAACTCAGGGTCTCCTGATTTAGGACAGCAGTAAAAAAGCCTTTCCAAGGATGACAAAGAGGGTTCCCCCTGCTTCCTCTCTGGAAGAAAAGCCGCTGCCATGTTTGCTGTTTTCATCCCCTACCGATGGGATTTGCAGTGGCTGAGTGGGCGGGCAGCAGGCCATGGGTCTTCTCAGTCCATTTTCAGTGCCCCCCCCGTCACCCTCCATGCACCCAGTCCTCTAGGTGTTTCTGCTAAAGTGGCCCCAGGGAATGGAGGGCATGCCGGCTTCCCTGTAAAAGGTCCAGGAGCCTTTCTTTCCCTCTCCTGGGCTTTCCACGTAGCCAGTTCCTAAATACCGGGGCCTAAGCCACAGTATTTCTCTACAAGCGACACCACCATCCAAGCCGGGAGGCCCTCGGCTCTGCCGCAGGTACAGTTATTTAGCTATTTAGCAGTCTTCTCTGCCCATGTTCAGATGTCGTCCTACTGTCTGCACCGGTGGCATCTCAGCCTTGCCTGACGGAGCTCCCCAGTCCTCCTGGCTCTCGGCAAGCTCTTCTTAAAATCAGAGATGTCAGATTTGGGTTCCTTTAAGAGTTCGGGGGGGAAGAAATCCCCCACCCATCCCACTGGCATTGAAGGCGATCCTTTTAATCTCCCCTCCCTCCTTCCCCATGTTTGGTGTGTGTGTGTGTTGGGGGGGAAACCTCCTGGGACCCCCTTGACTTTCATTTTATCTGGGCCCCTTCTTTAACTAGCTCTCTAGACGTGCTGACGGATAAATGGGGTGCCCCTAAAACGAAGGTGCTTCAGGGCTGGGTCTGTCCCTATAACCCCCCCGGCCGGCTTGTGCTCAGTTGCAGGTGGATGAGAAGAGGCAGCCCTTGAAAAGCAAGGAAAACAAAGGAGCCTTGAATGGGGAGAAAGGCTCCAGGAAGGTAAGTACGTGGGGCACTGGGTGGGTGTCCTTCATCTGGGGCCGTCAATCCGAAAGCCGCCCCCACCTTTCTGGCCTGGTTAGGATGGATCTATACAGGGGGGCTGGGGTGGGGAGGGAGAGCCATGTCTATCTTGGCAGCCAAATAAGTGTAAATAAGAGCAATTTTTGTGGCTCATTAAAGAATAAGATGTTTTTATGGCAGAAGGTTTCACAGATTGCAGCCCACAAGTTGGGAAGCCGGGGGCCCGGGGCGCTCCTCAAGAGGCCCCTCTCCACCTCGCCCCCATTGGCAGGGAAGTCCTGAGGGGGTGAGGGTGGGTCTAGAGGGATGCCCCTCCTTCCCTGGCAGGGATGTGGCTGCCTTTTAACGCTCTTGCCACCCAAACTGACCTTACAGAAGAAAGCTCCCGGAAGCTATGACAAGGAACGGGCGCCCGAAAAGCCAGGGGCTGTTGCTTGCCGGATGCCAGCAGAGCCCCCTTTGCAGAGAGGTAGGGGTGATGAAGGGGGAGGCCAAGCCTTTGGAGGTGGGAGGGGGAAAGAGGGACCTGAAGGGCCCAGCCTGGAAAGGGAAGGGCAAGGTGCTGGGGCCCCACGCATCCCTTTTTCCTGCCGCCGAAGCTGGCTGGTGTCCCGCAGAGCAGATTCTCCTCCTTCCCTCCTTCCCTCAGGGGTTCCTGCCTCCGAGTCCCTTGTGGCGGAGCTCTGTCAGGCCCTGCGGAGGATGAACATGAGCCTGGAGAGGGACGACGTCTCCGACCTCTTCAGCAGCATGAGGGTGCGTTGGAGGAGATGGAGGGGAAGGCAGCATCGGGGGGGGCATCTCTGTTCATCCCCCAGCCTGGGTCTAGAACCCCCGTCCAAGAGAGAATGAGGGAAGGGTCTTGGACACCCCCTTGCCACCTCCGCCACCACCCCTCCATCGGCTCCATTTCACACAGCCAGTGGGAGGAGACTCTGGGCCACAGGAAGGTCTGGTTGGGAACAAAAAAGAGGGGCCTCGTGGACCGAGTGGGCTGCTGAGAGGGAGTGGCTGCTGGCTGGCTTGGCCGCTGGCGGGGTTGAGAAGGACCCATCTCTCACCCGGATCCCTCCCGTGGTCCTCTCCATCCTTTTCCCAAATCCCTTGGAGCAGCTGCTGGCCAAAAGCCTGATGCAGTGGAAGAGTACACGGGGTCGTCATGGGTCTGGGACCCCGGGGGGTTCCGAGGAAGATAATCTCAGAGGTCCCTTTCCTCCCCTCGCCCAGCAGAAGCTGCCCCCTTACACGTTCCAAGGGTCTGACCTGCCGCGCTCTGTGACTGCTGAGATGCGTGCCCTCGTGGTGGACTGGCTGGTGCAAGTGCATGTAAGCAACCTGGAAGGAAGTCTCCGCTCCCCCTCCACCCCCTCCTCCACCGCCCCCCCTTGCCTGCTTCTGGGGTACATGATTTCATTTTCTGTTACACCAAGTTTCGTCATGTACCACAGCTGTGCAACATTAAGTTTTAATCCTCAATAGCCACACCTGAATACAGTAGAGTGACTCATGGTAAAATCAGCCATTTTACATTTAACTGTACAACGTTAATATTTAATACATTCCCATATCAAAATCTCAGCAACCTTGGACCCGAATCTCTGGTGCTGGGCCCACATCCTGGCTGTGGCTTTGCCCCATTCCTTCTCCTGACCCCCACGGGCCACCCTCCTCCTACACGGGATTCCCTGCCCCTCTTTGTCAGCCGCCTGTGGTCCCGACTCTCCTAGGAATACCTGAACCTGGCCGACGACACGCTCTACCTGGCCGTCTACCTCATGAACGCCTACATGAAAGCAGGCAAGGTGCGCGTTTCCGGCCTCCAGCTCCTGAGCATCACCTGCCTCTTCCTGGCTTGCAAGGTGGAAGAAAGCGTTTGCCCAGAGGTAAGCAGCGGCCGGCCAGAGCGCGCCGCCTGTATCTGGTCCTGGAAGGGCCCTTCAAGATTTGGTCCCTCCGGGAGAGACGCCAGGTAGAGAGGCTGACAGTGCAAGGCTTTGGCTGCCCCTGGCCTGGAGGGAGGGCTGCTTGCCTTCCTGTTCTGCTAGCCACTCTGGGAAATGACCCAGCACTCCTGGGGCTGGGCTTGCTTGGTCCAACCGAGCCTTGGGGGCCCTCTGACCTCTAGCCCAGGGTAGGCTTTGGCGGGAGGGATAAGCCCCTGCACCCCACGGAAGCCCTTCCCAGCCCCCTTCCCCCTCCACGGAGCTCCTTTGCCTGCCTTGCAGCCAGCCCAGCTCTGCTTCATGACCGAGGACTCGTTCAGCCGGAAGGACCTCCTGCGCATGGAGCGCAAGGTGCTGGGGGGCCTGAAGTTCCGTCTGCATTACGCCGCCAACCCCGTCCACTTCCTCCGCCTGATGGCAGAAGTCGGCCGCTGCCCCTTGGAGGTGAGTGGCTGGAGGCTGGGGCAGGGAGGGGAGGGTCAGAAGCCTGACCCGGCGGTGGGAAGGCAGCCCTTCCGCCCTGCAAAGCACAGGTTGTTGTGTTGCTGTGATGTACCTTCAGGTCGCCTCCGTCCCTATGGTGCCCCTGTGAAGCAGCCCTCTCCAGAGTGCCCCATCCTTAACTGCCTCGCTCCGCTCCTGCAGAGAACTCCAGAAGCTCAGGCCTCCCTGGCGGGGCCTCCGCGTCTCCGGGAGCCTTGCTTCCAAGCCTTGCTGCTCTTGTCCTTTCTTCCTGACCTTGGTCACTCCTGCCAGAGAGGGCATGAACCCATCTTCTCCTCCTTTCGGAGGTGGAGAGACCCTTTTGGGCTGAGTTCTGTTCCTCCGGGATGAAATTGACCCATCAGGACTCCGTTTTGTTGGCAAATGGGAGGCGGGCAGGGCTCCGGGGTCCTTCTCTTCCCAACACACCCTTTGCTGCCTCCCTCAGGTCCGGTATTTGGCCCTCTATTTCCTGGAGCTGTCTCTGATGGAGGTGGACTGTGCGCATTTCGAGCCTGCTCGGCTCTCGCTCGCGGCCTTGCGCCTGGCACAGAGGCTGTTGCTGCAGGAGGCCGGCCCCAAGGATGGGAAAGCGCTCCAGGAAGGCCCCTCCAAGCTCCACCTGTACAGGTAGGGGCCAGTACGTTGATCAATTTAATTATTATTTCAGTTTAATATACCCCTCCCACTAGTGCTGTAGCACTGCTTTGGGTGGTTCACAATAAAGATGCATAATCCAGTGAGTAATATAATAAAACCGTAAACCATCGAATCATGTTTAAACAGAAAGCACTGGAGCATAAAGACAGCTACATAAAACAAAACAAAATGAAACCAGAACACAGACAACAAATGACTGGACAGAGAGGCAAGATTGACGCAGTCAACTAGGGTCGGGAGTGGAAGGCCTCCCTCAAGAGCCATGTCTTCAATTGCCTTTTAAATATTGTGAGGGAGGAGGCCAGGCGAAACTCCTCCAGGAGCTGATTCCACAAGGACGGGGCCACCGGGGAGAAGGCCCTGCCTCTGGTCGAAGATGTATGGGCCTCCTGAAGGAACCTCATCTGCGAGGACCTGGTGGGTCAAGCAGTTGACTTTGGGGAAAGATCCTCCAATAAGTAACATGGGCCCAAACCATGAAAGGATTTGCATGCGAGAGAGTCAAAAGATTCACCATGTGCCAGGAAAGTGTGTGTTAGAGAATGTGGAACTGATACCCTAGGGTATTGGTTGTGGGGGACTGTAGAGTCAGCGGCCTCGCAGCTGTGGCGCAACCCTGAGCTTTCGTATTCCAAAGGGTCTGCTGCTCTTCTCTCCCTCCCCCTTCCCCCCTCCCCTTGACCTTCAGCTGCTTCTGTCTCCTTCCAGTGAGGCCGAACTGTCGGCCGTCTATCCTTACATGGCCAAGGCTGCCCTGCAGGGACCCAGCTCTGCCTTTCAGGCCACCTTCCTGAAGTACTCTCGGCCCCAGAAGCTTTGCATCAGCACCAGCCCCGCTATTGCTGCCTCGGAGTTCTTGAACCGCTGCCTCGGGGCCCCTGCTCCTTGAAAGAGGATTGCTCTGGCTGGACACCCTTCCAGCGACGGGTCGAAGGCTGGCCAAGGACCCTTGCCCTGGCTGCCATGATGGGCAGGTGGACAGGGGACTCATGGAGGCAAATTCCGTTGCCACAAACTCACCAGCCTGGGTGAGTGTGTAGCCTTCGTTGTGTTCCTCTCTCTTCTCTTCCTCTTTTTATTTCTTCTGTTTCGGCTCTCTGTGCCCATGTGTCTCTTTCCTCCCTGCTCAGGTCCTTCTGCTTTTTCTCTCCTTCACTTCTTGCCTTTGAGCAAAACTGGGCCAGGAGGTCTGAGGACCACTTCTCCTTGTGCACCCCTTTGAATCGCCCCAGGATGGCTTTTAAAAAAGAGAATCAGGAACTGTAAGAAAAAGCCAGCTCTGAAAAATGTTTAATAAAGTGTTTTACTCTCTTCTTGAATTGCTTTCTTCTTTCCAGGGCCTGTGTTGTGAGTGTATTCCTTTACATTGGATCCATGCTTTCTCTTGGGGAGGGTTGCTTTCTCAATAAAAGCAGTGGGGAAACTTCCCCTCCCATGCCAGCAAAGAGAAACAGCTCCCGGGTGTCCCAGGAAAGCCACCTGCAAACTTTGACACCCTCTTATTTAAAACCATTTCCGGTGTTGCTTGGAGATTGCATTGCCCCTGAAATGTTTTGCTAAAACAGACACCCACAGTCAAATCGCTAATGTTTCCCCTCTGGGCCTCTCCCCACGCTCACTGATGCACCCACACTCCTCACCGCTGATATGATCATCATAACGCTGGTCCTCCAAGCATGGTGGATGTTCAATAGGCCAGGAAAAGGCTGTGCAGGGGGAGGGGTCTCTAGACGGTGATTCACTGGTGGAATCCTTGCCCTGATCCTGCCCACATCCGGCGGTGTGGGTCACAGAGCAAGGGGAGGGGTGACAGTTCAAGGGCAGCTTCTGTTCCCTTCCTCTTCAGAGAGCAGACCCAGGAACAACAAACTGGGGGATCAGCCCCAAGGTTCACTGTGCAGGCTGGGGTGGGTGAAGAAAGGGGGGGCTCATGGGGCTGCCCCACAACAGATAAATTCCTGCTCAGAACAGCACCCTTTTGCTTGGCCCAGCAAGCCGGCTGTTCCTTGCAGGAGATTCTCTTTTTTTAACCCACTGGCCCAGGAGGCCCTTCTATCCAGTCTGGGGGCTATAGATTTCCCCCTGAAGCAGCACCTCCCAGGTCCCATCCCCAGCCCGCGTAGGCCCTGCGCTCCGCCGGGGAGGAGCCCAGCGTTTTCCTCCCGGGAGCCTCCCTTTCTTCCCTGCCCGCCTGCCGGCCTTCCTCTCCCCCCCCCCGTCCTCCGTCCCTCCGTGCCCAGTTCGAAGACATCCGAGGTCAGGCTGGCGGCGGGCGGTGCTGATGCAGGAGGGAGAATTTCCCATCATGCACTAGGCGAGAGCGCTGTCCTCGGTGCTGAAGAGGCGCCCGCCGCCGCCGCCGCTGCTCACCCCGCGCCGGTTGGG